ATTTTGGAAACTCCTTCCTTCGACTAATTCTATTATTGAAACTAATTTAGGTCGAGTCGGAGTCGTCATTCCATTAACTGGTGATTCATTTACTTCCGGTAATTACGGAGGACAACAATTTTTAGTAAGGTTAAACACCTCTGTGCATCGGGGACTTAACCAAGGTTAATTCCCAATAAGTTTAACAGAATTTATATCACTTAAGACGTAACAGACTATATGTGATGGGAAATTTAAGGATTTATCTTTTATTTTAAGGACTTTTATATATCTTCTTTGTAAATCACAAGTCGAGTGCGTGCATAATTTAAATCATCCAATTTTTCCTAATTTAATTTTGTTAGTGGGCCTCAAAAGCGCCGAGAGCAGATGATGCTGCGGTTAACAAGTTTAATTTTATAAGATTTTTAAGAATAAAAAGTGATATATTTTGTTTTTTATTTAATTATATAATTATCTGTAAATTATTTAAGGGATTTCACATATTTCGAAATGACCTGAAATAATTGATCCTTGTATTTCGATGTAAATGGTAATTTTAAAGTAAATCCTCTACTGTAAGGAGAATTAATAATTTTTTCAGTAAATCGCTTGCATAATAATGCTGTTATATAATAATAATATAATTTTTAAGCTAAAGTATATTTTTACACGTTAAACATGCCAAAAATGGGCGTAGATTAGAAATTAAATTAAGTTTTTCAGTGAAATTAAATTATATAATCCAAGTTAAGTGAAAATAGTAATTAAATTTAGTATTTCTCTTGCGTTAATTGCAATTTAATCCTTTCTTTAACACCAGAAAATGTGCATTTATCTTACAATTCACTGAATTTTGTGCATGCGAGGCTGCAAAGAATTATAAGATTAAATCTCTTATTTTAGGAATGCTGAAGTTGTGAATCAGTAAATTACTTGTAAAACGTGTCTAAATTTAGTTGTGACTGTTTTTTCACGTTTAAACTTATTCAGAATTCTTTAAAATGGCGAAAATGGATGTAACATCGGAGATCGTTGTTTGTTGCATGCCTCTATTTGCCTAAATCATGGCTTAATTTATAGGGAATGTGTTCTATATAATACACTTATAATAAGTGTATTTATCCTCATTAAAATTCATTTAAAAAAAGCACAAAGTTGCATTTTTATTTTAAAAAAAACAATTCAAAACTCCAACTTAAAAATTTTCCACGAAGCATCTAAAAAAATTATTATTTTTTTAATTTTTATTCAACTGTCAANTTTTTTCGAGACTTTATAAACTTTTCAAAATTTTAATTCATTAGAGACACCTTCGTAATTTTCTGCTTACCAAAAGTTCTCAAAATTAATAACCAGTTAAGCGATATTAATCAAATTTAAAAATTAATTAATTGACAGTTATTGTTATTAAAATGCCTATTTAAGCATAACAATAACAGTCTTCACTAATTAATTTAGTTGAAAAGATAAGAGAAGTAAACAATCTTTTGACAAGTTCTCTATAGTTTATGTATACTACGCGATATTATAAGAATATAAAACGCTTTAAACTTTTAAATTTTAATAGAAAGTAGTAATAAAAAAACAGAGCAATTTGTGTAAAAAAATTATTAATATCTGGTGGAAAGAGACATTTATTTTTTCAAATTTCCTATGCTAGAAAAATCGTAATTTGTAAGTAGTAGTTCGGAAATTCTGTAACTCTTTTATCTCTTGGCAATGTCATAGCTCATTAGTTAGTTCTGTTAAACTCTAATTACGACAACATATTGCTTACAGGATAAAATTTGTTGGAAAAGTCAAGGTGACCGAAATCTAAAGCACATCGTTACGTAAATTGCTTAGTTTCCGATATAAACGTAACATCCCTCTTCCTCTCTATCTGCTCCCTCTATTTTTTTTTTATATATTTTTTTATAAAAAATTCCATGATTCTTATATTGTTGAAACAATGCTGAAATTACAGTAAACGTATTCTAATTACTTTCTCTCCCCTTTCTTTTTATTTAAGGAAATTAAATGACGTATCGAAATTCCGGTACCCAGCTAGTTAAACTAATGATTTACTGGATCATTGGGATAAATCTAAAATTCGAATTCTATAAAGAAATTTTTTTTTCTTAAAAGAATCTCTTCTAGATCAACGTAATTTATTTTAAAAATAAAAGAAGAAAAATTTATCTACATATATATATATATAAGCTTATATATATGAAGGAGAAAGAGAGAGAGAATCTACTTTGTAATTTTTAAATGTAATTTTCTAATTTCGGGAATTACAAGTTTGTTTTAAAAAAGAAGAATCCAGATGAGGTTGACATTAAGCACGAAATTACGCAATGAATCGAAGTAAAAGTGAGATTAAAGTAAAGAAAACGGTATTAAAAGTAAAAATTGTGCGAGTAATCGAGCGAATAGTAAAGATTAAACTGAATAAAATTATTTTATGGATAAAATACGTCTAAAAAAATTATTATTTTTTTAATTTTTATTCAACTGTCAACATTGATGCTCGCGAATATTCGAATTATACGTTACGTAACATCAACCAATAGCCGTTTGATAGAAGTAAACGTCATAATTCACAACCAATCATATTCGAAATAGTGCGAATCGGTTGAAAAATTTGAATTTGAATTTATGTTTCATGAATTTTAAAGTAAAATGTGAAAGAATTAATCGAGGAAATCGCAATAAAAGGAAGTAGGAACGATTGTTTTTAACCTCATTTAATTTCTAATTATCGGAATGAAATCGAAAGTGATCGATCAATCAATTTTTAAGTAGGAAATAATCATTCTATGTTATTTTGCAACGATTTTTTGAAAAAAAATGTGTGGAATTTTATCAGTTCTTTGTAAGGATTCCCCGCTCTGATTTGCGGTTTCCGTTTTTATTTATTTATTTTCCTGTATCCTGCCGGCTAATCTCCTTTCCTTCACGGTTTATTGTTGTAAATACAGAGCTAAAATATAAAAAATTTCATGTAAAATTCTCACAATCCTTCATTTGAGCGGATTTTTTTCATTTAAATTTTATGGAATTTCAAGGTTCTTTCAAAATTTCGTGGAAATATTTCGTGATTTTAAATGAGAATTTCGTAATTTAATAGGTATAAAGTGAAAATTTCATCACTGAAAAGCGCGGTTATGTAGTAAAGTACTTCACGGAGCCTCATAGTGTGAAAATGCCCTTGAAAAATATTTTAAAATAGCATTCATCATGTATGAAAAAAACTATGAAAATGCATTACAAAACCGGTTTAAAATAGCAGGTGCGAAAGCACTTAAAAAGCACTATCGTGTAGCAAAGCGCTTTAAAAATACTCCAAATTATCGATCCGAATAGGGACTCGAACCCGTTATCATTGTTCGTGGGTTCGTACGCTGCCTTGTGGACTTTTCTGGATTTTTCCCCAGGATAAATAGGATCCAGATAGCCAACGTGTTACATTCCTTACCCCATCAAACCAATCAACGTAACACATGGGCGATTTGCCAAGGGTTTGGTGCTTTTCGAGAGGACTTTTATGGGAGCTTACTTAGATGTTGAATTGGTTGGTTTGATTGGGTAAGGCAATCTTCACATGTCAAGCACCAAAGTAAGGGCCAGTTTCTCATAAAACCCCTTTCTTGGTAGATTGCCCATGCGTTGCGTTGCTTTACTCCATGAAAGCAGCAATCCTCATGTGTCTAAAACCTGAATAAGAATTATTTTTCCATCGAAACTCCACACGAGAAGGACCTCCCCTTCGGTGGATCGCCCATGTGTTGCTCTGCCTGAAACCATCGATATGATCTTGCTTAACGTGCATAATTGCAACTCATCCTGAAAGTCATGCTGCAAAGTATGAACGTGCAGTTTAGAAACGTTACAAAATACTAAGTAGGCCTTCACACGACATGGGAAAGTATTTAAAAATTGTTTTGAAAGTATTATCATGTGGAAATCCATTAAAAAAACACACACACACGCACAAGGTAATAAAGCAAGTACTATTGATTTTTCTTTTTTTATTGTCGTTTCCTTTGATGTGACAACGTCATGCAAACTCTTCCCTCCTGATTATTCAAAAAAATTCCGTGCTTGTTAGAGGATTTCCAAGCGCTTCTTTGTGATTTATTTGATTATTCGCGTTTCCAAATAAAAGCAAACAAAACACCGTGTTTATCTTTATTGTAAAGTATTTGTGTACAGTTTTAGTTAGTGTTTGTGAAATCAATAGTTGTTAACTTACGTATTTCTCGGAAAATTTCATGAAATATTTTTATTATATTCTGTTAGTGAAAAGATAATTTTGTGGATCAGGGATTAAAAAGATGCACTTTATAACAGAGCATCAAGAAGCATCGTAATTATTCTTGAAGGCTCTGTATTGCAGCTTCTGTAAAGAATTCACTAAAATAGTGCTTCAAAGATTATATAATGCTTTAAGCTCCTGTAAAGAATTCTTTAAAATGAAGCTTAACCCAACGTCATAATACTTCTTGAAGCTGTTGTAAATAATGCTTCTTGAAAGCCCTGTTTTGAAGCTCTAATAAAAGAAAAGCAGTGCTTCGACGAGCAACATAATTCATTTAAAGCACTGTACATAACGGTTACAAATAATACAGACGTTACGTAGAAAGTTACGACGTTAATTAAAACATTTCCCTAATAAAATATGCTACACGTGTTACTCATAAAAGCATTGAGATTTTGCGCGTAACAAAGCGTAAATCCCTTTATCTTTTAAGTATCCAACCCTTCGACACTGTACTTATTGTACTTTTCGCTCGTATACTTGTACTGTACGTAACCTGTCGCACCCGGCGTAACGTAACGCTTATCAAGCAACGATGCTATGTTACGTAAACAACAGTAACACTATCATCACGAAATTATTTTAAAAAATAAAGGTCAAACAAAGCGATAGATAGATAGGAAGCAGGTTTTTACTATTTTTTTCAGCGCTCAAATTTCCCTAACGGCATAATTATCACTAAAGATACGTTGCTAATACGGAAGTACAGCTTGTGAAGTCGTAAACCATTGGGTAATCGACCGAGTGACGTAACTTCCAGGTGGTGAAACGATCGTCGTACGGGAATACCGAACGGAATATCGAATAAGTAGGTGAATTACGGGAAAAGCAACCGCGTAACGCTTTTTATTCTTGTGTTTTCTCGTAAGGGATGCCTCGCGTAACCTCAAACGTTGTCCGATCGCTAACTTGTTTACATCAATACTACTCCCATTCCTCTGCCTTCCTATAACGTGAGTATCGTTTTTTGGGTTTCTATGCGCGTTACGCGTTACGTATTACGCCATTCCAGGCGCCTAATTAGCCGCTTAATGTACTAAAAGTTAAATTTAAGAACTTTAGTAATACCGTGTAACATCGCCCATCACTTACGTGACGCTCCACGAGGCTCTAAATCGACTAATTTTAATGCCTAGACGAAGGCATTACGAATTATTTTTTTTTAGTGACTAGTTTTTCTGTTATTTTAGGCCCTAAATTTCAAATTTTACTCGTTTTATGCTAGTTTTTTTTCCGTTGCACGAACTCCGGGCTTAACAAGTAACAAGTTTCAGGTTTCAAAATCAATGCCTCTAGGCATTTTGTAAAACGAAAGAATGTTTTAAATTGTTGGTTTGTTTTGTTCGGAGAAGAAAGCAAATACTCGGAAAATTATTATTTTTTTCCTTCTTCATAAGAACTGAACCCACGATTCTCAAAAATATAACAAACACGTTGGTTTTCTTTTACTGTGAATTTGATTAAGAAAGATGTTACATTAAATATATTAAGTTATTAGTTTTCTAGGAAAGAATCCGCAACCTCTAACAAAGGTCGTGGGTTCGGTCCCAAAACTAAACGTACTTCGGATAAATATAGGCCTATACTTTTTTAAAAAAATACTATTTCCTCCCTTTATTTCGCTCATCTTTATTACTCGTTGATAGGAACCGAACCCACGACAATTATAATAAACTTCATTCTAACAGATAAATTAATGAGTTACTTATCCTAATTTGAAGCCGTATATGTCCTCAGATTTGAATTTAAAGTCGTGGGTTCGGTTCCATAATTCTTTCTTCCTGCGATTATGCCTCGTGTCGTAACTTTTATTGTATAAAATCAACTACGAATTAGTGTTTTGGGTGAGGGTTTAATTTTAGGGCCTAGGCTGATTATTTCTCCTTGTTTTACAGAAATGACTGTCGAGTTACGACCCCCCTCTTCACCTGAGCCTACGAAAGCATGCTGCATCGTTTCTGGAGGCCTCTTCGCTTGCTTGTTACTCCTCGGTGTGGCTACGGTCGTAACGGGCTGCGTCCTGATAGGCCTTACCTACTACAAACAACTGCCACGTGAACATCCTCTGTACTTCGCCAAGGCCTACGAAAGAGAATACCTGAAAGCTATAGGGCCTATCATACTTGTTATCGGACTCGTTTTCATCCTCCTACCTTTGGCCATGTGTTGCCTGATTGTACGAGGCCCCAGACAGAATAGATATTTGTTAGGGGAGGCCCGGTATCACAGCCTAGCCCTTCCTTTGTACGACTTGCCACCGGGTTACGAACAGGTTACGAAAGTCGACAAGCAAACAACAAAGGGCGATGCCCACATCAGTGTCATCACTGTGTTAGATTATACTGAAGATAGGCCACCCCCTTATCACGAGGTTACTAAATAAAGAGTGACGATGACGTGTCAGGCCCGAGAGTTACGTGTATTTCTATTTTTTGTCAGTGCGGGAAATATGCCTCTTCGGTGAGAGGCATAATGAAGTTTTGTAACAATGTCTTATACCCGATTTAAGTGGGGCATCTCTGCTTTACGTTTACTATCCCACAAATGCTTGGAGAGCGATAAGAAGCCCTGCCATTCAGATTGAATTTTCATCACGTATTGTTCTAGTCAATCATTGAAAAAAGTGGGAAAGATGCCCCGAAATATAGCCTATTTTATGGGCATCTCTTTCATGTTGTATACCTATATTATAAATGATTGAAGCATTTTATCTCTACTATAAATGCGGGAGAGATGCCCCATTGGTGAGAAATCTTAAATACATTTAAATTGTTCTTCTAAGCTCTATAAATGATTAAATAACAATAAAAAGTTCTAAAATTTATATTTTCTTCCGTTCTATAAATGCCCCTTTAGAGAATAACAGGAATATGCATTAAAAATATATATATATTATATTAAATATTTTGTAACAGAGCGGGGAAAACCGGGATATTTCTACAACTGTTATCATCTGTTTTATCTATAATTACGGAACAGATGCCCTTTGCAACAGAGATATTACTCCATTTTTTAACGCTTATCATCATAATAAACTGCACATTTTAATATATAAACAAGTTAAAAGAAGAACAAGACCTCGATTTAATAGGCACAATCCATAAAGAATCGAACCCACGACTCCTGTTAACTCGAACTCACTATTTAATTATAGGAACAAATTCATCAGGCATTTCACCTCAGCCGAATTGTTACATTTAAGTCACTTATCGAAGGCGTGGGTTCGGTTCCCATTTACCAGTAAAGTGAATTTTGTTACAGAATCAGCAATGCACTTTATAAAGAACCGAACCCACAACTCCTATAAGCCTCTCTGTAGGAACACCTGTATTAGGCACCTAATACAGGTGTTCCTCATTTACGAATAAAGGTTTTTTTTTTTACTTTGAATTATGTTACAGAAGCACGTAAACACAATACATTCACTCTAAAAGGAACCGAACCCACGGCTCTTTATTAACTCCAACTCTCTGATTACACCTGCAAACAGAGCATCTCACCTCAATCCTGGCGTTTACCTTTAACTCGCTGTTCTAGAAAGACGTGGGTTCGGTTCTCACTCGCCAGTAAAGGCTTTTTTTCTACTGTTAGAATAGCCGTTACGCGTGGAAATTTAATTAAATTCGGGCTTTTTTTTCGACAAAAGGTAACAGAAAAACGTTATCAACGACATCGTTACGTCAAGTGTTTTCTGGTTACGCCATATCAGCTTCTAGGAAAGGAAGACGAGAGCTTTGTATACATGACCTTGATGGGGTGGAAGTGAATTAGGACATATCACTTCTCGATATTTTTTATCGTATACAGAAAAACTAACGTAACAGAAATTTCCGTCGTGAATCTAATGTACGGCGGACACGTTACGTCAGTCGAAACAACGCAGCAATCCTCAAAAAAAAAAACCGTAACGGTGTTTATGTTACGTCGAGTGTTTGTAGAATTCGCGATGAAAACACCAGCAGATGCTTTTTTATTTCACAGGCGAAGTGTTTACGTTTAACTAATTCATTTTACTTTCACTTTCTTCTAACGTAACGGCAAAATCTGGACCCCTTTTTTTGGGATGTAAACTTCGTTTTCTATGTATTTTTTACATGCAAAAAGTCTTGTTTTGCTGTTATATAATAGAAAAAGCTGGAATTTTTTTATATCTTTTGTATGAAAAAAGGGTTCTTCTAGATTTAAACCTCACTTTTTTACACTTTTGTATTGAAGAGTGAGGCATTTTTTAGATAAAACAACTCGTATTCTATGCTTACAAGTGTAAACAATGGAAATTTTTTAGATACAAGCCTCAATTATGCCTTTTTTATGGAAACAGGGCAGATTTCTGGATAGATTACACACCACTTTTACTATATAACAAGGGAAAAACCTCCCCCTCCGAAGATCTTTACACTTCTGGACTCTGGAGACCTTTAAACCTCCAAAAAATGCAAAAAATTTGGGGGTTTTCCTGTATGTTTGTATTTATCTGTGAAGCTTAATAACTCACGTGCCTTTTGTCGAAAATATCCGAAATTTTGCAGGATGGTTTGACTATTAGAAGCATTGTTGCGGTTAAATTTTGGGGGTCAAAGGTCGAAGGGGGAAGGAGATAGAGGAAGTCGCGTGTGTGTCATATCTCGAGTAGGATCGGACTTAATAAAGATTTTACTCGTGGTTTACAATTTTTTTAAACTTTTCTACCTTCAAAATTAATTATAAAAGTGTTTTATAATAAAATCACCTAACAGATGGCGCCACACGAAATTTTAACTCTCGCCGGGAAAGTTACGCAACCCGTTAGAAGGGAAAAACAGAGACATTCCTCGACTCACAAACGTCATTTTTTTCTAATTGTGAGAGGCTAAAAAGGGAATTTTTTACGTCGAAAATAAATTGTAACGGGTATAAATGGCGGCCGTCATCAATTATTTAAAAAGTGTGATGCGTCATTATCTCTGTGACGTGGCCTTGTTACGCGCGCGCGACAGACGCGTTGTATCTTTTGACTAAGGCAGCCAAAATAAACTGAGGATCAAATTTCTGTTGAGTGGTTCCGTCGTCGGCAATTGGCGTAATGAATGTTGCACTTAATAAACAAAGTAAATTAGCGTCAAGCTGCAAATTAAAAAAAATATTGACTCCTCAACCTGTAGTTCGCGATCGATTCTGATTGCTTATTTAAATAGCTAACTTCCTCAACCTTTCGGTCTGTAGCTTGTTCGTTAACGTAATAAAGGTCCCGCGATCGACCGGTTGGAAAATATGAAAACTCCGGCTTACGAAAGGTTGGGAAGTTAATTCCGAAAATCATTTTTGCATAGTTTTTACGTTCTTCATAAGTTTTTAACCTGTGGTACGCGAGCTACTTAAACCGTTTATCGAGTTTAAGGCTATGGAGATGACGACGCGAGCGAGTCAATTTGACGACGTTTCTCGCCTTCTCGCTCTCGCTAACGCTGCCGTGCAGTAAAGCTTGAATTTTCCCCTTCGTTTGAGAATGTAGAAAGAGAACGGATCGACGATAAATTTTGGATGAATTTTAAATCATCTTTCCCATATTTCGAGATAAGCGATAATTTCTCTCGAAGAAAATTGTCTTCTCGCTTTCTTTACATACGCCATGTTTGTATCGTAAGCGCTTCAAAAACGAGTTATGAGCAAGCGCAGAATAAAGGGAGAACTTCGTACCGCGATAAAAATCAGTGCCAGATATCTGCGAGAGCGAGTCTTTCTGTCGCGCGAGCGAAGGATTCTATTACTGGCTCCTGCGTGCTTTCGCTTTGCGAGAGCGATATTGGTCGCTCCTATTCTCGCGTCAGCATGGTTGTAGCCTTATGTTCACATGTTGATTATCTTTACGTTGACTATAAAGGTTACGGGTTCGACTAATTGAGAAGTTAAGTCTGACAACCATTTTGTTTCTAAAAATTCGAAAAGCTTTCATTTATATCTTTTAAATGTCTGAATTTTTCGGTAGTTTGGGACTTTCTTAACGAGCGAGAAAGCGAGAGAGAAAAGGGCGACTGAAAAAGAAAAAGCGAAAGAAGAGAGCGAGAGAAAGAGAAAGAGAAAGAGAAAGCGAGAGAAGAAATAGAAAGAGAAAGAGAAAGAGAAAGCGAGAGAAAAAAGAGCGAGAGAAGAAATAGAACGAGAGAAAAGAGAGCGAGAGAAGAAATAGAAAGAGAGAGAAAGCGAGAGAAGAAATAGAAAAAGAGAGAAAATAGAACTACTGAAAAAGAAAAGGCGAGAGAAGAGAGCTAGAGAAAAAGAAAGCGAGAGAAAAAATAGAAAGAGAAAGAAAAAACGAGAGAGAAGAGAGCGAGTGAAAAAGAAAACGTGAGAGAAAAAAGAAAGAGACAGAGAGAGAGAGAGAGAGAGAGAGAGAAAGCGAGAAAAAGAAAGTAAAAGAGAGAAAAGAGAAGAGAAAAGCGAGAGGAGAAAAGCAGAAAGCGAGAGAGTGTGAGAGAAAAGAAAAACAAAAAAAAAAAAAAACAAGAGAAAAGAAAGAGAGAGAGGGATGAAAAAGGAAAGAAGAGAGTAGGAAGAGAAAAGAGATTAAAAAGGGGGGAATGAGAAAAGAAAGAGAGAAAAAAAAGAAGAGAGAGAAGCGAGATTGTTAGTAACAACTCTTCAACCTTTTAGTTTGCCGCATGTTGAAGAACGCGATAAAGGTCACGCGATCGTCTAGTTGATAAATTCCAAACTTCGATCGGAGAAAGGTTGAGAAGTTAGTTAGAAAATACAAAAATCTACTTGACACTTTCCTTTCTCGACTTAATTAAAGCTTAAGTTGAGGAATAAAGAATGCAATATACGAGAAACCTGTACAAAACTTTATTTCATTCACACATCAGTCAACATACAATAGAAAAAAAACAGTTGATATCCAAGTAGACATGTCAAGATACCCAAAAATTTAAAAATCTCATGTACAAATTAAAAAAAAAAAAGAAATTATAAATATATACAGAAGACGAAACCCATTCTCCGTAAACGAGACATTGGTTATTGTTTTTCCCTCACGCGCCCGGCGTGTATACCAAGTAACAAAATTTCTCTTAGAAATCACGTGGTACGGGTACCACGCTACATATTAATACCAGGCACTTTTAATTTCGATATGTACTTTCTTAAATAAACGGCCATTTACGATTCTCAAAGTACGTGAAGATTATCGCAAGATTTGGATCTTATGCACGCTTTCTTCAGGATCCTTCTGATGATGCCCCTTGCTTTATTGCCCGATAGGTCGGTTGTGTGTCCTCTTATTTGCCTCCTCCTCACCTTCTGCGCGTGCTTGGTTTTCAGGCGAATTTGGCTCAAAATTCCAACTAAAAGCTCGTCCAACTGATGATTGATACCCGCTGAAGTTTCAATAAACTTGCAACCCACCTCCGTGGCTAAACTGCGACCATCTAGAGGTATACAAAGAATTAAAGGAGAGATTAAGTAAATATAGAATAAGTACCTCATCGACAGCAAAAATAGAATTTTAAAGTAGTTCCAAAATGAATTTTTTTGGTCGTAAACTAGCGTATTGCCTTGACGTCAAAGAAAAAGTAACTTCAAGAGCCAAAATTTTTGTATATCTTAGAATTACGTAAAAGACACAAATTTACTCGAGTGTTTGTATGTATAATAAGTCAGTAGAAGGACTGCAGACGTTAGCAATCTAAAAACACCAGCTGAAAACTAAGGGTGGCAGCAAAATCACGTGACAAAATTTCGCGTCAAGCTGGATTTCTTATATAAGAGAATTTCGTAGTCCTAATGTAAAAGAATATATGCAAATTTTGGCAATTTTCTACTCTCCCTGCTGTTATACAGTGGCACTGTAGCTACATGGAACCCAGGTAAATTTAAATTAGAAGGCCCCACGTACAGGGTTAACTTTAGAGGGAGTTTTTCGATGGAAATATTTTCTTATAAAAGATTGCTTTGGGGTCCCCTGTTGATGGCAGATAATTGCCCTTTTGCCCGTAGGAAAACTTGCCACTGCTCACAGAGGCCATCTTCAGAAAAGGCCCCTTAAGATTTTCATATTTTCGGACTCAGAAGACCTTAAAACGTTGAGAAATGCAAAAAATCTGAAGGTTTATTCCTGTATATATGGATGTTAATGTGTGTGAGGAACACGGTTTTGTTCACCCAATTTCAATCTGAATAACTCCTGTGCCTTTTGTCGAAAATTTCTGAAATTTTGCAGGAAGATTTGCATATTAGGTGCATTGATGCTATTAAATTTTGGTGGTTAAAGGTCGAGGGGTGAGAAGATAGAGGAGGATCGTGTGTCATACCTCGAGCGGGGGGGAAGATTTTACTCGTTTTTTCTTATAAAACGCGTCATTACCCTCAAAACTAGGCTTTTTTCCACATAATAATCATTAATAATATAAAAAGTTTTTAATAAAATATCATAACAGATGGCGCCACACACAACTTTACCTTTTTCCCTGGAAAGTTACGCAACTCGCTGCTGAATTTTTTGGGGGATTTATTATCTAAAAAAATGAATTAGAAGTTAGTGGTAAGCCCAAAATTTCGAGGCGCCTAGCCGAATCCTTTTTTAAGAGAGGATTTTATCGCCCTGCAACTTTAAATACGTGCAGATTTGTGTATTTTCAACGTAATTTCTTTTGGAGTTTCTGGAGTTTAAGTTTAAAAACTTCGAATTTATGAGAAATTGCATAATGGCATGCAAAATTTCAAAGAGTTAGATTTCTTGTAAGGGGATTTTTGCAACGCATCACGAAGTAAAAGCATTGTGATGTAAAATTCTAACAAAATTGCATAAAAAAATAGAAATTTAAGTACTTAGTGCATAATAAGACAAAGAAAAATTGCCAATGTGAGCATAAATCGCGTGGCATTTTTTTAGTTTCGCTGTAAAAAAATACATTAAAAATCTTAAAAAAACATGTCAGAGTTGGAGGCAAGAAACTACATTTTTAGAAGCTTCGTGACCAAAAAAACAACTATTTAAAAAACGTATTAAAATGCCCTCATTTTAATTTGAAAACTCATTAGTATCAAATACAAAAAATTTGATTTTTTAGATAAATATTTAAGAAGAAAAACCTATTCGAGTATCGAATTGTCACGTAAAATATAGAAGCATTAATCACGTTATTTTTTAAATAGAACGTGTGCTTTATTAGAATTTTACATAGCATATCACTTAATATAAAACATTCTAACGTAGGGTTATCAAAGGCAAGTAACTATTTAAAAAATAAATTATTACTTAAGTGGCTCAATTATTCTCTGTACTAAGAAAGAATTAAGTGTCCTTCGTCGTTTGGCCAAGTTTTATGCAAATTTTTACGTTTCCTCACTTTTTTATTTGGCTTTTAATAGATTAACACCCATTGACAGCCCGCGCGGATATCTACAGGAAAGCAAACATCAGGGGTAAAGGTGTTTCTGTTTATAAGATTCAATAAAATGGGGAATATTGTAATTATTATTGTAGTTTCAATTTTAACTGTTGAGGAGATAATTATGCATTCGTTTTACAAAGAACTATTTAAAAATTCCTTATAGAAGGGTATAATTTTTATTGTTTAAGTTAACTTGGATTCCTCGATATAAGATGTTATATCGAGTAAAGATGAGAGAAACACTACTTAAGAGGATGCCATTTGGGTGAAGAGTAGACCGTGTCATGTGATTATTTCTAAAGTTTACGGGAATATCGAAAAATCCATTTATAATGAAAAACGAGGGCGAGGGCGCTGCGGATGAAAGCGACACGTGAATGATTCACGTGCGCTTCTCATCTACAGCGCCCTCTCGCTCAAATCTCGTTTAAAGCCACGTTTTAAAAATATTATAAACAGTGATTTAGGGCCTAAATTAATCTTTAATTCCACTTTGAAGCGATTTTTGACGACAACGAAACTCAAAATTTAAAAAGAAATGATTTAAATATACTATTTTTATTCGAATTGGGCGCGAGGTCGCTGTAGGTGATCGGTACACGTGACTCGTTCACGTGTAATTTTCACCTACAGCGCCCTCTCGTCCAACTTTGCAATTTTTTTTTTTTACGTATTGTTCACTTCCAAAATTCTCTTGCGATGCCGTGTTTACGCCCAAAAACGATGCAGAAAGAGGTTGAGGGCGCAATTTGTTATATTTATCCACCTACTTATAAACAAAGGAACATTGCACGTCCCTTTCGATCGTCACAGCCGACAATACCGATTTAGTACAATTAAAAATCTTGCTGCCACTCTAAACAATTTCGATTTCTCAATAAGGGGAGGGAGGGGGCGTATATAAACGAGTAGTGTACTCACTTTCTGTCGTCACCGTCCTTAATCTTGCCAAATCTGTTTTGTTGCCAACTAGGATAAGCGGTTTATTGCTCGATCCGTCCCATCTCTGCAATTGTTCTAGCAATTTTCGAGTCTGTATGAAGCTACGACGTGAGGTTACGCTGTAAACCACCACGTAAGCATCGATATTGGAAGAAGTAATCATCATTTGGACCTGCCCAAAATAAATCAAACTGTTAATAAACCATATATAGGGGTTCTATATATCACACACACCAAGTAGTCTTCAAAATTAGCTTACCAAATCTTCGTCACACGGGATTTCTAAGAAGATCATCTCCGATTCTTGCCCATTGAGGACCACTGTTACCGATTTCTCGTTCTCGTCTTCTGTACCAAAAAAAACGTATTTTTAAAAATCTCGCTACGTAATTAGCGTAATTACTCTTCTATAAATTGTGTTACGTTAAAAAATACGTATACAAAACAGATAATCTTGTCTATTTATAGAGAACGAAGGGAGAAAAAAGAGGATAAGAATAGGAAAACAGAGATGTCGTCTACACCCACTCGTCTATCTAACAAATCCCACTTCCTCCATATTCGTAGGTAGAGCGTGGGCGTTCTTTATGTATTCTCTCTATTTCTCTCGTTCTCCTTCTCTTCTGCCTGTCTGTACTAATTTTTCTCACTACTTCCTTTCATAAATAACCTCTATAAATGATAGGAGTAACGTTAAATGGCGTCTAATTTTTCCATTTAGAAATGTAATGGGCGTTACCCTCTAACAGAATAAAACGTTACTCTGAATCAAACCTGGTTACTTAATCACTAAAATTGCTTGTTTTGTTACTATTTCGGTTACGGTTTTTAGCCTTAATTTTTATTTAGAACGATGGGGTTACTCTGGGGGAACGAGATCGAATCCGGGCAGTCGAAAACCCCACGAATTGTGGGTTCAGACAGGCCGGCAACGGTGGAGAGGGATGGGATCCGAAGCCACACTGAAAAGGCCCTCTTTGTACCCACAAAGAGGAGAAAGGCCCTCTGGGAAAAAGGCCCTCTTTGTACCCACAGGTGAGACATTAGTAAGTGTTGTTACAGAAACTTGAATTTAGAAAAGATATGGGGTAAGTGATGACTCCTCACTTTAAATTAGAATTGAGCAGAAACTATAAATTCTAAGTATAGTGAGTGAAGTAAGTGTTAAATAAAAAGGTTGAAGAACCTCCTACGTTAACAGTGAAATAACTTATAGGAAATCTTCAATTACACTACAAAAATGGGGAGCACCACAAAAGGATGTTGAGGATGTTCTCAACAACCTTTCACTAACGAATCTCACATTAAAGGACTGAGAAACCCTTACAGCTCCCATTAATCTTTGTTTAAGAGCTGGGAAACGCTCACAACTCACTTTATTTTACATTAAGAACACTTAGAACTCCCATATAAAGTTACATTAAAGTAAAAGAACCCGTAAATGCTGACAAGAATTCGAATCTCGAAATTGCGAGTTTGATAGCATCCCACCATTAAATTTTAATATAAAATGAAATATTTTTACCGAATAAATATTTATATAAGTGGGTAACAAGAGCCTAACGAGGTATGAAGAGCATTAAAATAATCCAGACAGCAATTTTTTAAGTATAAATGTAACATTCGCGAGCCTAATGAACCCCTAGTTCAGTAGCTACATTAGTGAGATCGTGACATAACGCAGCTGTGATTATTTATAGAAGTATCCTATTTTTCCTCCCTCTTATATATCGTAAGAGACGAATATAGTAACATAGTTTAAATAAGGTTTAATAATTAATTAAAGACCCCCCTCCTCTGGTTTGTTTCAACCGAAGTGAACGTAGTCTAGACGGCGGTTTCGCATTTTTCAATCATTAAATATCCGATTTTTGAGCGATGATGACGTTTAAAATAAACTCAGAAACGTTTTATCTCGTTAGGAGAGGTGATTTGGAACGTTTTTGCCAGTTCTAGAAGATGCCAAAATTGAAAACTTTCGGATTCCTCGGCTCTAGAAAGTAAACTAGAAACCCAACGAAACGAAAACGCCGACAGTGACATATATTTTAGAATAGCTTTTTTGGACCATCGGGGCTATTGTTAAGATCTCGTGTAGGTTGGTTCTGCTCTAATTTAACAAATTAAAACATGTATTTTTAGGTCGGGGAGCGGGTTCGAATCGTTCAGGTGGACGGAAAATGCGAAAAATAAAGAATGCTCTTACCTTGAGAACTATCGTAGGCAGAGATGTACTCGGACGTCATGAATTGGCGGGTGATGGACGATTTGCCAACGTCGGGGGCACCCATAACTAGTACCTTGTACTGATCTATGTAGCTAGTCTGGCGGCTTATACACGGTGCTACCTCCTGATCGGGTGAGGACGGGCTCTCCGATCTAGGGCTACTTGCAGAACTGGGGCTGGACGATATGGAACTTGGTTTCGAACGGAAAGAATCACCCCTGTTAATAACACCCTTTGGAGTTACGGCGAAGTTCCTCAGGCGATAATAGTCGGCATCTTCACCCGAAAGAGGTAAAGAAGATGCCCTGGGTGAGGGCCTGGTGTTGTTGTCCTCGCTGGGGGTGCTGGAAATCCTAGACCTAAAGCGGCAGCTCGGCTCCGTAGAGTTCTGAGGGCATCGCACGGTTTTCACCGATTGGGATCTGTTAACCGATCTGCCTTTGCTCTGTTTACAGGAAGACTTGAAGCTTGCCATGTTGTTGTTGTTAGTCCGTACGCTTCGATATTCGTTGCTTATAAAGTGTGGAACGATTTCGTCAAACTCTATCATGCTTCTTGGAACGGGTTCTATGCACCCAATGTCAAGTGTCATTCTGTCTTCGTCGCCAATCTTTCTGGGAACTCCGTCGTCTGCTGTAGCCTTTTATTTTCTGCCGCTCCGCTGACGTCAGCGCTGATGCGCGCGCTAGTTTCTCCTTTTTACAACTGACTCACTTAACGATACTCGATTGCAGGAGCCGCTAGTAATAACAATCGTAGAAAAGCTTTACAGGAAATAATTATATAAAATAGATTTAACTTAAAAGAATTAAAATTAAAAAAAAAAAAGAATTTAAGCGTTAAATGACCTAATTTCTTTTTGGCAACACGTCTGAGTTAAGAGATCGCGAGTGGATGATAATCGTTGATGTTACAAGTGCCAAAAGGTGACGAATCTCCTGTCTTAATATAAAAATTAAATCATTTAATAATTATCGTAACGAACAAAACGATCGAATTTACATAATTCCCACCAATAAATTCAAATTTACATATAACAGCCACGAATTTTGATACGAACCATTCCCATTGGTTCATTTGAATTTGAAACTTTGCATTTGATCATTGTTGCCAGTCAGCGGTATGTTTAAAGTAAGAACGTCAAATTATTTTCGATCTTTGAGGATAAACAGACGATTTTATTTTTGAAATATCAAAAAATAGCAAAAGTCTCGAAGACTATTTAAGGTTCGATTTAGTTGAAAATAAACTTAAGAAAAATTCTTTCCCTTGAGAAGTTATTCGAAACATTTCGTAAACGAACGAACTTAGTTTAAATAACACTAACTTAAAGAATTTTAAAACACTAATTTTATCACCTTTTAAAGGGATTCCCTTTGGCATTTGTTGCAGAAATGTGGTTTTTGTAATTAATTGAATGGAGTAATGAGTTCGGAGCTTATACAAGTTTCTCTTAATGCCGTCTACAAACAAAACTTGACACCGCCGCTACGGCAAAAGCAACAGAGAGACGTAAAAGTGCTGAGATAACAGAGATGCTGACGTATCTTCTCTTATACAACTTATTTTCGTGACTAATTTCGCATCGAAATTTAATGTTACGAAAATTTAATAGAAGATAATTAAGATACTTTCACTCCAGTTATATGGGGTCACTATGGGTGGGTTCGAAAATAGATAAAATTATGACGCCTCTGGAGAAATTTATGATTCTGAAATCCGATTACTGACACAGTACTTCTTCAGTAAGCATTATTAATACTAGAGAAAGTAGGGCTTTGTCATAATTATTATTATAAATTTAAGAGCTTTGGATAGTTCAGAGGGGCTGATGCATGAAACTGTATAATTTATAGGGTAAAAGAGGTCTTTAAATGATAAAATCTGAATGGGTGAAACCTGTAATTATCTCTCGAGTGATAATCGTAAGTTAAACGTGTGTAGCATTTTCTTTAAGCGGCACATTTAGACTTCTTTTTTTTAAAAGGTTCCAAACATAAATATATGATTTTTTTTTTGTTAGTACAAAGTTCCAAGGATGCGAGATAAAAACATTAACCTAATTATGGAGGATTTTTTCCTTCTTCTTCTTCTTTAGACCGCTTTGGTTTCAATTTCCATCAATAAGGTATCGTTCTAGTTTTCGGATCTACTTCAAAAAGCCATTAGAATGATGAAGAGGGTCTAAGTTTTGACACATACTATTGTTAAGTTTACATAAGATGTCAATGTTCTCTAACTTGTGTGATTTCCAAAGTGAAAGGGGATTCCGTCTTAAGCCCTGGATGTCATCCAATGTCTTCATTACGTCCTATTAACATTGTTGATATAATGTATGCCACGGTAGATTAAAACTTTAAATCTTTCGTTAACCGTTATGCCCCATTCTTTACGAAAATTTCAAAGTGGAGAGGTCGTTAACCCTTATACAGATTATGACAGGTCTTCTGTGGAAGTTGAACAACCTGATGTGGAAGATAACCGCCTTGTTCGAATATGTATTGTCTCTGTATTGCCAAGGTAAACAAAGAATGTCAAACAATGAAACTTTGTTTGATTTAATACTTGAATTTTTTTCCTGGTTTCTTTAAATTCAAATCCTGGAAGGGTGATCTCGAGCGCCCTTAACATCACCCTTCCAAGATTTGAATTCAAAGTGAACAGTAACATCGTTTATCGATTTTTAATTAAGTCCACGTAGCGTAAACATGAACAATTTCGAAATTGTTTCGTCATAACCCCCCCTTTAATCGATTATTTTAGAAGGTTTCTTAGTATCAGACGGGTGTTTCGATTATGTACGAGCGTGAACTGACGCTAGCAAAGTACAGTACCTCCGAATGTTTATAAGCAAACAGTTTCGAGTGGTAAGCAAACTGATTTAACAAGTTCTTTACTAAAATGACTCAACTGTTGACTATCTTGTTCGCTGTTTACTATATAAATTTGCATTAATAATCACAAAACAAATAGAAGAAACTGATCGATACCACTGCTAGAGAATAAGCGGGGATTATTCAAACACTAAGCAAAATTAAAATAAACTTTATATCTTCCCTCCCTCTGTTTAATACAATACCATAATTGGCGGATTAAACAAAAATTTCAAAAAATCCAGACAGAGCAGGGGGGTGGTATGCTTCACATCAGACTTTAGATGCTTTACAAGATAGCGGGACTTTAACAGCAACTCTGTTTGTAAAAACAATTATAACACAGGGCGATGATACTTTAAAACAATTTTAGACAATGTTAAATTGTTGTTTACTTTAAAAAAATAAAACAAATAAAATCAACGTTTGAAGATATCGAAATGGCATTCTTTCGAGGCACACTTTCTAAATGCGTACGTGTCAATAAAATGGGCGCTCATTTGTGTTTATTTTTAAACCGCTAAATAACACGCGTTATTAATATTTGAATTCATATAGGAAGATGTTTATTTTTAAACTCATTTTTGTGATAAATCTGTGCCAAAACCGCAGTGAAAACTACCGTTTACATTCTATCTGAAGGTATTTACGGTAAGTGATGAAAGATAGCATCCTCCATTACAGGAGCAACAACAATTAATCGCACACTGTGGAAGAATGGTATATTGAACTTTCATCCTTTTTGTTTTATTTTATCTTCCTGTTAATATCTCCGAGCTCATATTACTACAGGAGGCCATTGTACCCTCCTTTTTTTATTGTATGAAATTTTCTCAATTAAAGGAAACTTTCTTGGAATAAATCAAAGTTGGTAATTATTTATTCATAAGTTTCTTGCTTGTTGATTAATTGTATGGTAAATTTTAATTATTCCTCTTCGTTGTTATTGTTATTAAACAAGAGTTCGAACGAGGTCATTTATTTAAGCGCTAAAAATATCGATTTTTTTCGGTCTGCAACATCCCCCTCTTATGAAAATCCTGATTGTTTGACAGTGTTTATGTTTATTTTATTCATTTAACATAAGTAAAATGATTCCGAAGAACAAATAACTCTTCCTTTATGTGCTACTCGCTTTACACTAAATTATTGGCAATTTGCTCTTCATGCAATATGTATTTTTATTACCCATCTCCAAATACGCAGCATATAACAATAGAGAAAATATCACTCTCATAAAAAATAGATGAACAAATTTCTAATTTGACTAGTTCCAATTGAAGGCTGCTTGCCCGCAGCTCGCCATTTATAAGTGCAATATGTCATACTCGTGATGAGCCCATTGTTTTTTGAGCATCCATTTTTATTCTTCAATATCAACAACAGAGAGACATAAAATTAGATAGAAAACACATTGAGGAGTATTAAGATGTGTTAAGAAATGAAAAGTGGTGTTTATAAAATCGATAAATGTATATAACACGAGACAAACTTTTGATTTATTATCTATATAATTCCTTGTGATTTCCTCAATATTTAATAATATTCGTACCACCTATTGATTTTTCTGCAGTTCCCTTTCTATTCCTCAATCCCCTTTCTTTCTAATCTTTAATTTCTGTAAATACCTAACTGATCTGAATACCTGTTTTATTTCTATTATCACCTAACTGATCTGAATACCTGTTTTTATTCCTTAACAGCCCATCAGTAGTCGAGTAAACAGAACCACTAGACATTAGTAGTTACCACTGTCCAGGTGGAATTTTCCGGGTTTTATTCACGTTTCTAACACCTAAATAGGGTCCATTTTCTGTAGAAGTCTACTCGATAGACAATTGCCCTCTTTCATTGTCTTCTTCCATCAATCCTATAATCCTAAAACAGTTTCCCTTCCATTATTTACTGCATGAATGAAGCACTAAAAAAACTGCATAAAAACACAGCAGGAAGCCACAAATTTGGCTCGAAATCTGCACGTGTCAGTCGAATATGAAAACATAAGCCAAAGCAAGGCATAGGAAATATAAAAATAAAAACATTTCAATTTATTTCTATAAATAAATCAAGCTGTAATTACTTCTTCAGATCGTTCTTTCTTTTTAATTTTTAACTCTCCTTTCTATGGATACTAAAAGGGCCTTTTATTCATAACCATCGTGTGTTCGGCCAAGCCTATAATGGAGTGGTGAGGAAGGGCATAAGAAATGCATGGAAAAATTTCTGAGGAGCGGTTCGATACCGGGTATCCTATGATTAAATTGTATTGGATTGATGGAATTAGACAACACAACACATGGGCAATCGGCCAAGGGGGATGTGCCTCCGGAAGGACTCGTATTGCAACCTGTCCCTATTCAGGTGTTAATTAGACACGTGAAGAAAACAAGGATAATTGCACGTGGCCATCACTTTGGCGAGGCGCGAACCCGCCACCGACGATCAGTGTTCAATGGTTTATCCACTCGACCACTGGAAGGCCAGGGTCTCCAGAATCCGAAGGGGTCAGTCTACTGCTCAGAAAAGGAGTAGGCAGACCCCTTTTAAGCCGCCTCGATCATCCGGGCGTGTCTTCACATATTCCTACTCTTCCATTATTAAACCGTACATTATTATGGACGTGAACTTTAATCGTCTCTTGGCATAAATTTCGATTTTTATGTGGCACAATTTGAACTTTTGTATACTATATCAGCTTTTAGGTGTAGATAAATGCCTTCGCTTGGATCTAAAGTATTATTTAGGACAAGTTTAGGACATTTATTTAGGTTAGTAGGTCCAGTAAAGCGAAAGGAAAATTACTTTCAGGTAACGTTTTTATCTTAGCGAGGCGTCAACTTAATTATACATAAAACACTTTCTGCTTTTATTGAATTACTCCGCAGATAAAAAAGACACGATAAACTAAATAAGCAAAAAGATATTTTGACAAAAAATTAAGTTTTCGGCAGGTAACTGAAAGGCTTTTTCAGTTTTTGCAGCTCCTTTTCTCTCTCCTCTGCTTGACCTTCACACCCTTTCTTGGGAACGACATCTGCTGATACTCGTGACACATGATCTCGTTTTTTTAAGAGTTTTTAGAATTAATAAACCTTATTTTTTAATTAATTATAAGGGTTTAAGGCATGAATCAAAATTTAGGAACTTTATTTTTGGTCCTGATGAAGAAAATCTCCGAATTTATGCCCCTTTGAAACGTATTTTTTGCAAGTTGACTAAACCATCCAGTTACCAGGAGCTGCAAGATCCTGGTAACTTGATGGTTTTTTTTATTAAATTTTCCTAAATTAACGCTAAAATTAGTTTTAAACTTTTAAAGAATAAACGAAAATAC